AGCAGTAGTACCAGTACTAGTACTAGTACTACAGTAGTACTAGTGGCAATAGCAGTAGCAGTGGGACTAGAAGGAGTAGTAGTTGCAGCAGTAGCAGTCGTCGTAGTAGTGCTAGTGGTAGGGGCAGCGGTAGCGGTAGTCGCCATCGTCGTGTCGTACTAGAAGCAGTAAGCAATAGCAGTAGTGGTAGTCACCGTCGTAGTAGTCGTAATCGTCTTCGTCGTCGTAGTAGTAGTAGTCGTCGTCGTTGTTGTTGTTGCTGCTGTCGTGGTAGTAGTCGTCGTCGTGGTAGGACTAGAAGCAGTAGCAGTACGAGCAGCAGCTGCAACGGTAGTGGAGCCTTAGTAAGTAGTAGAACAGTAGAAGTACGAACAGTAGCAGTACGAAGCAAATTCAAGTTGTATTAATCGACATCGTTTGTGAAGGCAAAAGCAGCATAACTGCCTGTGTCTGCGCTTCGGAAGCTTCCATCAAATTAGTTGTGCTGCCGTACGTTGATACATTCACTTGTCGTCGTCGCAGTAGCACCTCGAAAAGCACGTTTGAATAACTCCTCGTCGTACTAGTGTTGACGAGTTGACGAAGACGGTTCGTCGATAGTCCCCACACACCCACAATTTGTGACGTGTGTGAATGTGTGTATACATATATATATATATATATATATATATGTGTGTGTGTGTATACATACATATGTATACACACATATACATACATACATACATACATACATACATACGTACATACATACATACATACATACATACATAAATAAATACATACATACTTACTTACAGACATACATACCGGCATACATGAATACTTACGTACTTGCATACATTCATTGATACATGCATATATATGTACATATATGTATATAAGTACATATATACATATAAGTACATATAATATATGTATATATGTACATATATATATATATTGCATATGCACAACGTGTATTTCGTTTTCGAAGATTCATTCACATACTTAGGTTGTTTAACACTCACACTCGGACAAGCCTGGCAAGGTCTGAAGACATACTGGTTCATGCATTACATATGCTTAGTTGTCGATCTAAGTTTTTGTTCAGCCATTTGCCTGTTCCTGTGTTTGTCAAGGCATACAAATGTACATGCACGTGCCTATATAGATATGATATAGCATATATATATATATATATGCGTGTGGGTGTGTGCACATGGTACATACGCGTATTGATGACTAAGTCTGCACACACATTGCATACATGTACGTTGAGTTCAAAGATTGCGGGGGCAAAGCATAGCCAGTTCAATGCACAGCCCCAGAAGGTGATGAAGTGAAGCCCTTTGCATTGCAATCCTAAATGGGCGAACAGTAACAAGCCAGGAAGCCTGAACCCTAAACCATTTACTGCCCCTTCTCCATTCTTTCGCAGCTGGACTTCTGCAGTCACCAGAAACTGTCGATCCAGGGGACTAGGCACCTCAATCTCTGAAACCGTAAACCCATGAAGCCCTAAACCCTAAACCGTAAACCCGAAGCCCTAAACCCACTAAACCCGACACTCTGTGCAAGACCGCGGCTTCAGCACATCACAGGCGATCGCAAAGGACAAGCTTGAGATCATTGAGTCCAGGATGTTTTTCGCCTATCATCTTCGGGTGTACGGTTTTGGGTTTAGTGTTTTAGGGCTTTCACACTCGGGAAAATGTCAGGCAAGGTCTGAGACTCGCACAAGGAAAGCAAGACACTGGTCTTAGGGCATTAGGGCTGCAGGATTTTGGGGCTTAGGGCTTTGGGGACTCTTCTTGGCCTTTCAATTTATGCTCTCACAGTGACTCTCACAACTCGGACTTGCAGCCGCCCGCAATAGCTAACATTCATAAGATGCTCAGCCAGTTCCAACCAGGCATGTCCAAGTTGCATGGTGCTACGATGCGACCACCCGGAAAGGCTCTGAACTCTGTTCACTAGCCACTCGCAACTCAGACCGCGTTGTGCTTGATGCAAATGATGCAAACAGCTACAGCTCAAATTCCTTTCGCTCCAAATATTCGCCCGCTGATTTGTGCCTTGCTTGGACACAGCTCGAGCTTCTGCTCAACTGTAGTACCCGGCAACGAGAATCAAGCAAGGCTTTGGGGTGGGGTGTTGGTGATTTCTACTTGTGCAAACGATCCCTAAACCCTATACGCCCGAAAGAAAATGTTACAGGGAACTACTGGGCCAGGCTCCTCGGTTACCAATCTGCTTGCGAGCGATTCCGAGACACCACAGACTTCGAAGCGCTCCCGCCTCTTGAAAAAAACCAACACAAGACCAGACTTACTGAAAGCCTACTGGAAAGATGCGATGCGCCGCCTAGTTCGCATCATCACGGAAAAGATACAAGCAAGCAACGATACAAAACAGGATCATGGCCAAGTTGCTAACACGGTCATCCGATGCTCCTGCTGCGTGCAACCCGGAAGCCCCACAGCAAATCCCAAAATGCAAATGAGCCTGACGGAGCTGAAGTTGTCACCAACATGTGGTTACTTACGATGGTGGCCGCAAAAACCCCGTATGTACAGGAGTAAAGCCATTCACGCACTACTAGTCTTACCGTAAGCCCTAAACCCTAAGTTGCAAAGGTGAAGACGTCCCACATCGGATTTCTGTCGGAGACTGCCCCCAGCCAACCTCTAAGCCTAATGCAGCGGCTTTGGTAGTAAGACTAGCATTCCTCACGGTTCCGCACTTGATAAATAATATCAACAAATATCTATAGTCTGATATAAATAAACAAATGCGAAAAGTAGATAAATAAGTAAATAAATAAATAAGTAAATAAGTATACATGTGCATCTATATATATATATACACACGTATTCATACATAAATATGTATACCTAAAGGGCCCCAATAACAATCATCAAGGCCCCCTTACAATTCGAAGGTCCGCCTGACAGCTCGAGCACAAACTCCTCACAGTTAACTCCGCATCTGAAAAAATCAACGAACATCTGAAATCACGGTTTCGAGTTTAGGGTTTAGGGGATTAGGGGATTAGGGTTTAGGGTTTCAACTCTCTCACTCGCACCTGCGGATCTAGGGTTCAAGGTGCAGGGTTTCTAGGCTCTCAACTCGGACATGACAACAAAGGAAGTCTCGACTCTCACAGCTCGGCCAAGTCCTTACGAGGTTTCGGGTTTAGGGATCTCCTGCCGCACGCATCCAACTTCCAGCATCGCGAAGCCCAGCTGCATCCAAACGATGAGAAACGTGCACCTTCGGTTCGACTCGGGTTGTTTAAGGGCTTAAGGTTTAGGTTCAAAAAAGCTTCCTAG